ATTTTTAGTAGAGACGGGGTTTCACCATGTTAGCCAGGATGGTCTCGATCTCCTGACCTCGTGATCCGCCCGCCTCGGCCTCCCATAGTGCTGGGATTACAGGTGTGAGCCACCGCGCCCGGCCCAAGTTTAGTTTTTTAAGTAGGTAAGTGTGCAAGGAGAACTTAATGTGAATTCAGATCTTTTGGGCCGTTTTGATAAGCAATTTGAAATAATGAAATTGAAATGAAAGCAGAGAAATACACTCTTTCTTGTTTTCCACCTAAATTATTCAGAAAATTATTTCAGATCTCTATCTCCTTTTGCTTATATAGACCATTGCCTAAGGCAGTGTCCATATTAGGCTAAGAACAATGGATTGTAGCCCAGTCAGACAGATTTATCAGGCCATCATATGACTAAGATAACCTAGAGAGATGGAGTGGATAACCTATTCCAGACTCTATTTCATACATTACAGATACTGCCCAGAACACACTGCTACAGTTTCAAGGTGAGGCGTTCAAGCATTATTCTGAGCACTCAACGCCCACAAAAAATTTGTGGTGAATCTGTTAAAGATTATGGATCTGATTAAACAGTGGATTCACTTCATTACAAATACCAGAAGAATGAATGGTAGGGCCATTACATTAGCTGTAATGTGACTTTTCTTTTAAGACCTTTACTGGGAATATTCCCCCCCAACATTTTATATTAACATGTCACCACAGGGTTATTTCCATACCCAGAAGCTGGGTCAATGTTTGTGCAATGCTAGAAGAAACCATGATTTGTTTCTCAAAATGTAAAATGCATGACATATTTTTCTAAGTGACCTAAAAAATACAACTATGGGCCAGGTGTGGTGGCTCACACCTGTAATCCTAGCACTTTGGGAGACAGAGGCAGGAGCATCGCTTGAGCCCAGGAGTTCAAGACCAGCCTAAGCAATATAGTGAGACCCTGTCTCTAAAAACAGAACAAAACAACTGTAATCCTTTTGCTGATTAACATATATAGCCAGCATCCTTTCATGTCCTCTTCTTTCTAGGGGTTATCAAGTTGTAGTTTCAAATACAGGCATAGATCTATTTTTATATACCTCACGTTTTATGCATCTGAGTTTTGAAACACAGTCAATGCTACTGCAACATACAAACATTCATTTTACACTAACTACTGTTTCTTTAAAGGGCTGGCGTTTCACTTTGCATACATCTTCTACAGAGTGAACTATACCATAGGAGACCATCGTCTGTGGCCATCAACAGTCAGATAGTCACACAATTAAACAGACATTGATAACTGAAGATTTGGTTTGATTGTCATTTATTTTTCTTTTAAATAAACTCCCTCTAAATGCAGGAAGTATAATGAGAAACCACAGAATGTGGCTCTCCAAATTTCCTCAAGTAGCCCTACCTATATATTTTAAATTATCATAGAAAAACAAACAAAACGACAGCACAAGTAGCAGTGCAGCCATGACTGTCATCATTTATATTAGTTCCCTGACTTACTATACATCCCTGGTATAATTGATGCATTTGTGGATGTTCTGTTATGGTTGACATGTACTGTAAGTGTACAGCAACCTGACCCTTGGTATGGTTTGCAAACACGTCCATATTGCACAGAGTGAACTTCTTGCTGCAAGTAATATATCTAACATACATCCTTTCAAAATGTAACATCCTTAACTAGTTAATATAGTCTAGACTCTAGACTATGAGTCTAGAGTCTAGGCTTTGCCCCTAGGCAAAGACAAGCAAATACTGGTGATTTAGAAATGCAGTAGCACATTAGGCTACAACACGGGTAATTCCAAGTCACTTCGTATTTTGCAAGTTCTTTGCTCCTATGATTGAATACTTCAAACACATATCTTATCTTTCCTCCTGAGTATCCAAAAGTGCTTTGGAGAGCAAAAGTGCTTTGTCTCCCCATTTCACAGAAGCAAGGGGGTGGGAAGGGCTGTAGCAAGAAGGGCCAGCTGCTCTAGAGAGAATGTGGCAGTACCAGGGTAAATGTTAGCATCCTTAAGCAGGTGTCTTCAGCCAGCAACACTGGTGTATGGGGGCTATGAGGGTAGGATTTCACGTGTAACCTAAGAACAACTCTCTTCAGGGCATGTTTTCTAATAATCTTAAAAGGATTCCTCAGCTTGGCTCTGCCTAACTGGAAAATGGAGATCAAAAAAAAATTCCATCCCCAAACTGCCCTTTCAATGCTCCCCCAGCTGGTCTGGGCACACTCCTTCCTCTTGTACCCCTTACAGCAGGCCAGCAGCTCCCTCTGGGAGGAATGAGGCCCCTTAGCTGTGCATACCTGGAAGGAACGAAACATTCTCTTCTGTAGCAGGTGCCCCAAGTTAGGGAGACAATTCTCCAAAGCCTCGTGAGCTAGGCAAGAGTCCAGAGAGAACACATTTTTTTTCCTCTGAATCAAGTCTTTCTCTCATTTACACAGTCTCATCTTAAGAACTTTAAGTGTGAAAGGAAATGCTAAATTATTCTGAGCTGTCCACTTAGAATGTGGTGTGGATTTTTAAACACACAAAAAGACACGTCTCCAAAAGGCCTTTCCGTCTTGTTCACTGGTGTGGTTCATTCTTGAAGCAAGGTTTCTCTCCAGTTGAAGCCCCCAGTTGGTCCATGGGTAAGAGGAAGGATTGGTGGATCTGTCAGCTGCCATATTCCAGTTTCTCCTAATTCTTCACAGGAACAAAATCCCAGATATGGGATCTGAAGTAAGAGTCGTAAAGGAAGGGGATATTAGAAGACAGGTTTAATACAGAAAAAGAGGACCAAAATATATAAGGCTACAATGTCAGGAGTTAATTCCTAATTGCAAGTCAAGTTAAAAAGGCAGCTTAAGGCCAGGCACAGTGGCTTATGCCTGTAATCCCAGTACTTTGGGAGGCTGAGGCAGGCGGATCACTTGAGGTCAAGAGTTCAAGACCAGCCTGGCCAACATGGCAAACCTCGTCTATACTAAAAATACAAAAAATCAGCTGGGCGTGGTGGCGTGTGCCTGTAATCCCAGCTACTTGGAAGGCTGAATCAGGAGAATCGCTTGAATCCAGGAGGCAGAGTTTACAGTGAGCTGAGATTGTGTCACTGCTCTCCAGCATGGGTGACAGAGCGAGACTCTGTCTCAAAAAAAAAGAAAAAAAAAAAAAGGAAAAGAAAAAGGCAGCTCAAATATTTCTGAAATTATACTTGGACCCAGTGGAAAAGATGCTCCAATTTTAAAAAATTTGTTTCACCCGTTTTTTTTTTTCTCCTTATGAGTCTCTGTAACATTCAAAGCTGAAGCTCTGCTCTCCCTCACTTCAGTTGTCACAGCAATTTTAAAACTTATTTTTGTCTGTGTCCAGAGAGCTGCATTTACAAACAAGACAAAATTCTCTATCTTCCAGCACTGACAAATGAGGACAGATGCATAAATAAACTTTTCAAAAATGTGAAAAACAATTGCGAATGAGTTTGAACCAGTTTCGCTGGTGGCAGAGAAAGGAAGTATGTAATTCGCCAGAAGGGAAGTGTGTGGGAGGCAGCTGACCAGAAAGCCTCTCCCACAGAAAGGAAGCCTCCAGATGTGTGGGTCAGCCTCATGGGTTTTCTGTCTTGCTGTCTTGTTCCTGGCTTTGCCTCTTAGCCTCCTCATTTTAAATTGCTGCACGCCTCAGCCTACCTTCAAGGACCTGTGTTTGAGTTAAGCTTTCAGATGCTGTCTTTTGGACTGACCTCTATTGATCCAACCCAAGTTCCCTCCGGGAAATTCAAAGAAGGTCCCTCAGGGAAATCCAGACAATTTGCTTATAATTCCTAGCTGCTTCCTACATTTTAGCTCTTAGAAGCCAGAACTAGCTCTAATACACTGTTTTTCTAACACAAGGCTTAATAAAGTGCCCTGCACAGAGTATCACTCAATATGTCTTGGTTGAGAGAATCAATAAATGAATATTCCCAGCTCAGCATAAACACATGCTTCAAAGAACTTAGTAATCAGCCAGTCACTGTGCTGACCTCAAACTACTAGCCATCACGGACCCCACAGAGCAAGAATGAATTACCTTTCGGACCATTTGTACGAAGTCCTTGGAGTTCTGAGGTGACAGGCCCTGAAGTTGGCAGGTACAAGCTTCAAGGGAAGATGCGTGGGCCACAATCAGGATGTTATTTCCTGGGGAAAAATGGCAAGGAATGGGAAGACTGTTTCTATAAAGACATGGAAACTGCAAATACTGGAAGCTAACTAAATGCTCTGGAGGGGAGCAAACACACTCAAGAAAAAGACAATTTGCCTAAACAATATTTTGTAAGTGCTTTCTTATTGATAAGGCAGCCTAATTTTTTTAAAAGAAAACATTTTATCTTAAAATAGTTACAGATGTATGGGGCCAGGTGTGGTGGCTCATCCCTGTAATTCCAGTACTTTGAGAGAACGAGGAGGGAGGATCACTTGAGCTCAGGAGTTTGAGACCAGCCTGAGAAACATAGTGAGACCCTGTCCCTACAGAAAATTAAAAGAACATTAGCTGGGTGTGGTGGCCTGTGACTGTAGTTCCAGCTACTTGGGAGGCCAATGTGGGAGGATCACTTGAGCCCAGGAGATTGAGGCTATAGTGAGTCATGATTGCATCACTGCACTCCAGCCTGAGTGACAGGAGCAAGACCCTGTCTCAGTAATAATAATAATAATAATTATTGACTTATGGGAGGGCTACATATAATACATATACATACATACCAGCAAGGTCGCACGAACCCTTCCTCCCAGCTCCCTCCAATGGTAACATCTTACATAACTATGGTACAGTATCAGACCCAGGAAATGGACGCTGGTGCAATACACACAGCGTATTCAGATTTTAGCAGGTGTGCAAGCAGTAGTTTGTGTGTATGTGACGATACAGTTCATGCAATTCTATCATATGTGTAGCTTTGTGTAACACCATGACAATCAAGATACAGAACTGCTGTAGGTCCATAGGGCTCTCTGGGTTACTTCTTCTAATATAGTTTTAAATGCTCCCACTGTAGAACTGTGAGTACTTGAGACTTTCTGGTTGATAGAACATGTTGTGTACCTTTATGGCAGTGACTGGCTAATCAATGAAAACTGGAAGGTGGGCATCATCCATAATACTGTTGCTCATGGCTGTCTACCATTTGAATATAAGTATTTTAACTTAAAAAAAAAAAGAGATGAAGGGAATGTCCACACTTTTTTTGCAATCTGTCTTTTTCACTAAAAAATTTATAGTGAACAATCTTACATGTTAAATATTTGAGCTCAATGTTTAGAAAATTCAATAGCAAACACACTTGAGCCTTACAGAACACTGCTCTTGGTGATAGCAGGGAAGGTGTGTGTATGTGTGTAGGAGTGTTGTGTGTAGGTGTGCATCCTGCTAGATCAATGATAGGCAAAACAGTGGCATGCTAGAGCTTTTGGAAATTGTAAGAGGGAATCTCACAGGGTGCAAGAAGAATAGCTATAATGCAGAATTTAAGTCATTAAGAATAGTAACTAAGTCTGGTATAAACCCCTGGAATATCTACCATTTTAGATACTCACAGAATATTACACATGTAATGTAAAAGTATCTGGAAGAAAATCTGGAAATACATTTCTTTGGTTAGCCAAAGCAAGTTGAAACATCTTGAATAGCCTATTAACCATTATAGAGAAATAATCACGTATGTAAAGATGGAGCTCAGAATAATAACCACTTACCTTTACTTTTACATTCACTTATTATTTCTTTTGTTACTTGGAAACTTCTACTGATATAAGTATCATAGGATTCTGAAACAACTAATTTGCTGACTGGAATGTGAGGTCTGTAATAGAAAAATGAACAAAGGAAATGAAAACATTTTGATCTTAAGACAAAGGAAGATCCAAACTTTTATTTCAAGGCCTTTCTAAAGATCCCATAGATCTGTTTGCTTATCCATTTCCCTAGAAAGGAGAAAGGTATAGGGAAGGGTATTTCCACTGTATGAACATGGAATGGAAATGTACAGAAATAACAGCTACGTGTACGGCGTCACAGTGACCAGGTGAAAAATGAGACATTCAGTGCAAGTCTCATTCACAGGATAACATATAAGCCCTTGATTGATGGTCCTAGTCACATAGCTAATACAAAGCAGAGCAGAGATGGGAACCCTCAACCTATTTACATCAGTGGGGATTTCCCAGGCCTCTCCTCAAGAGCTGCAAGGATAGGTTTTAAAAGCAGATATTAGGTCCATCTGATTCTTTGTGAGTTTATAACACTTCACCAGCCTTTTCCTTTTATTTCTCTCTTATTTTGAACACAGACCGTACACTTGGCACAAAGAGAAGTGCAGAGCATAAAGATGAAGACAACCCAATTTCTGTGCTAGAGAAGATCTCTGTCTGTGGTTGGGGGTGAAGAGGCTAGTGATGTAAATGATGATTACTATACAATCTACAAAGGCATGTGATACTGTGTGTCCTCTACCGGCTTGGGGGCCTGGCTGTGTCCTCCACCCAAATCTCATCTTGAATTTCCACATGTTGTGGGAGGGACTTGGTGGGAGATAACTCAATCATGGGGGCAGGTCTTTCCTGTGCTGTTCTCATGATAGTGAATGAGTCTCATGAGATCTGATGGTTTTATTTTTTATTTTATTTTTAATTTGTTTTTTTTGTTTTTTATTTTTGAGACGGAGTTTCACTCTTGCTGCCCAGGCTGGAGTGCAATGGCTTGATCTTGACTCATTGCATCTTCCACCCACTGGGTTCAAGCGATTCCCCTGCCTCAGCCTCCCGAGTAGCTGTGAATAGAGGCATGCACCACTACGCCCAGTTAATTTTGTATTTTTTTTAGTAGAGACAGGGTTTCACCATGTTGGCCAGGCTGGTCTTGAACTCCTGACCTCAGATGATCTGCCCACCTCAGCCTCCCAAAGTGCTGGGATTACAGACATGAGCCACTGCACCTGGCTGATCTGATGGTTTTAAAAAGGGGAGGTCCCTGCACAAGCTCTCTCTTTGCCTGCTGCAATCCATGTAAGACGTGACTTGCTCCTCCTTGCCTTCCGGCATGATTGTGAGGCCTCCCCAGCCACGTGTAAGTATAAGTCCAATTAAAAGCTCTTTCTTTTGTAAATTGCCCAGTCCCAGGTATGTCTTTGTCAGCAGCGTGAAAATGAACTAACACAGCATGGAAGAGGATGATCAAAGCTAGGCTTCCTGTCCTGCTGCCCCTGCATGTCTTCAAACCCAGTCGCCAATGCCCCTAGGGCCCACCTCTGCTTGCCTCCGCCCTGCTTAACTATGTAGAGTTTCTGTGTTGTTTCTGGTCCACAAGATGTTTATCTTGTTTTCTGGGTACAACTATGTCATTTCAATTTTCTTACTTTGTCAGTTTTCATTTTGTCTTTCACTGCTGGGTGTTTAGTGCCTGGTAGAGGTGTGGTAAGTTCTCAAAATGAATTCACATGGCCTCTGGATCAGAATATACTATTACTGCTACTATTAGCACAAAATATTTACTGAGGTTCCCGTATGTGTCAGGCTCTGTGCAAATGTCCTTCTAGCATTCTTTCAGTCTAATCCTCCCAGCAATGCTTTTGTAAATGTTGTTTATGGATGACAAAACAGAAGCTCAGAAAGGCTGCAGCTGACTTGCCTATGCTAACACCATTAGCGACTCTTAGAACCTGGATTTGAACCTGAGTCTGGGGTCTGGCCTGTGAGCCTATCCTCCACACACAGCTTCTGACAGTGCCCTTGTCAAGCCTGCCCTTCTGTGCACAAAGGCTTACTGTCCAGAGAGGAAGGATGCCGTTCCACTTGAAGGAAACTTGCATTCTCTCAGCATGCATGTTTCTCCTAGGAAACAGCCTTCTGAGTCTCACAACACCCTGGGGGATAGGTAGAGACCTGAATCACCACTTGTTGGGGCTGCACCTCATTGTTCTGGAGCAAGCTCTTTCTCCTCTTTTTCTTTCCCCATCCTCACCTCTCACCCAGTTCCATCTCCATTTATGTCTCCTGATCTCCCAGGCCTGTCCCCTCCCCACAGTGACAAAAGCCCACTTTGTATGGCCCAGGGAGTCATTTCAAGGGTGAGACCATGTAATGTGTGAGATTTATGTAGGTGAAGAGCGGGAGACATACTGGGATCTGGTTCCTCCTGATCAGTTCTTGCCTATGGCTTCTCCCAGCACCTTAAAGTGGAGCCTGTGAATGACTCCAGTGCCTGGAGCCCTGATGGGCTTGGCCTGAGTCAGAGCTTCCTCACCCCTGTCAGCAGGTCATGTCATGCTGCTAGCCACACCTGCGGGCCCTGTGCTGTCCTCAGAGTCAGGTGGCCTTCCCACCACCCACTCAACCCGGAATACGGTGCTCTGGAAGTCAGGTGGCATCCCCGAAACAGTATCCTCCTCCATATACTCTCTGCTTCCCATCTTGCTGTGGTCCAGGTTGTAAGCACAGGCCTGTGCTTTGAGCTTCACACCAAAGTTTGATTTGTTTCCCCTCTAACACTCCAGATCCATGCCCTCCCCCAGTCCCCTGCCCCAGTCCCATGCCCCGTTCTGAAGCCCCACCCAGCTCGTGTGGATTTTGTTTTTTCTGCCTTGCTCCTCTGGCCCAGCTCCTCAAGGCTAGGGTTGCTTTTCAGTCCCCCAGGCCCTAGGCTGGTCTTGCTGCCTGTGGATGATGCTTCGATATTAGTCACCAGCCTGGTTAGCTTCCCTAACTCGGCTTTCAGTCCCACCTCCCTCCTGTTCTCTTCCTACCCCTGTTGCAAGGTGAGAGGGCTCTTTCAGCAGAGCCTGCCTGACTCACACTATCCCGGCTCTCGGGGCTTGCCCTTCTGCCTGTCACCATGTGTCTTCAATCATTTGGGCACCACTTCCTTGCTTCCAAAGGCTTGTTCATTTGGCATCATTAATTTCATAGGTAATTAAACTCCAGGGCTGTCCCTTTCACATGCTTACACTTTGGCTTTCTCAACTGATTTTTCAAATTAGAGGCTTCACTCCTCCCCCAATTCCCTCACCAAACAGAAAATGGTTGAATTGAATTCTGATTTGCCGGAGAGGAAAAGGCAATGTGGAATCAGGACTGTGTCCTGACCCCCAAGTTCCTGGCATTCATCCTTCTGCTCACACTGCTGGTGGGGTGTGTATCTGAGTGTACATTGACAGGCTCAGGTAGGATGATTCTGGAGACCTTTGTAAGGCAGCTTGGGAGGCAATGGCAGAACACACCTAAAGGAAATATCAAAGACATAGTTGACCCAAATTGGTCTGGGTGGGACTGGTGGTGAATGATGAAAGTCACTTAACCAATGTTGGTGGCAACTCCCCCTCTTTCCAGGCCAAAGGGATGCTGGCTGTTGCACGGGGACAACAATTTATTGCTAATTGCCTGCAAAGAGCAGAAAAACGGTGGCCAGAAAGGGGATAGGACAAAATGTGAAGTGTATTCGTGGGGGATCCTGTTGATCGATCTAATTTTATTTTTGAGCAATGCTAATTCCTTTCAGACAAGCAGCAGCAGTACATAACTAGTTAATGGGGTCATCTGAGGTCTTATTTGCTGAGCAGAAAAAATGAGTATGGAAAAAGAAGATATTCTTTATTACCTTAGCTAGAAATGCACATTGCTTTATTTGTGGTTTGGGTAGGTATTTGAAATGAAAGGTCAATAGATATCACATAAGAAAGTTCTGCTTATCTTGACAACTTGTTATTATTAATTCTTTTTTTTTTTTTTTTTGACGGAGTCTCACTCTATCACCAGGCTGGAGTGCAGTGGCACGATCTCGGCTCACTGCAAAACCTCCGCCTCCCGGGTTCAAGTGATTCTCCTGCCTCAGTCCTCCCAAAGTAGCTGGGACTACAGGTGCGCACCACCACACCCAGCTAATTCTTATATTTTCAGCAGACACGGGGTTTCACCATGTTGGCCAGGATGGTCTCGATCTCTTGACCTCGTGATCCACCCAGCCCGGCCTCCCAAAGTGCTGGGATTACAGGCGTGAGCCACTGCGCCTGGCCCTATTATTAATTCTTAATTGTGTACATGCGGATTATTCAGCTGTAAGCAATCTACAAACACTTTTTAAAATCCCAGCACAGTTGGGTCTAATGGAAAAAGGAAAGGAACAGGAATGGGATGACTGCCCAGAAGATTGCATGAGGCTGGACATGTGGAAAATGATGAATAAAGCTTATTATTATTATTGTTATATGTGGTCACTAAATGTATAAATACTTTTAGGCAAGTTATTTGAACTCTCTCATATATAAAAATGGTTTACCTACATTCTGGGCATATAGCAATAATAAACAAAGATAATACAGAGATTTAAAAATGCTTTGAAAAATTAAATGTAGAAACTGCAAGACATCGTCATCTCCCTTATCGCTCCAATCTTCTCAACTGCATCACCATTAGCTGGTGCTTATTGCTGGAATGCAAAATGGTTTTATTACACTGAAGCAGGTATAATAAAGTCAGAAAAATCCAACACGGGGGTGAGGTTGGAGAATCTAATCCACACTAATGCCAAATATGAAAAAAAATGCTGGCTTTTCTCCAGTTTTGATTTCTAAAATCGTAGCTCGATTTCCACCACTATGGACAACTGCCTGTAGGTGATGTCCAGCCCTGTCTCCTTCATGAACCTGGCCTAGTGCTAGTGCAGAAAGCACTTCCACACTGGCCTCAGTAAGCAGCAGTTTCCCAGGCTTACCTGTAGGTTGTATCAACACTCAGGTTGGCTGCAGCTAACTCCGATGGAGGTATCCATGCAGGTAACGTGCTCCCGGCAACCCATTTTGTCCACTCAAATAAGCCGGGCTCTACACGGATCTTCAAGTGATTTTCTTGTTGTAAACCTTAGGGGTAAAATACAGTGAAGATGAAGGAAGTGCCTCTATATTCTCAGGCCAAATTGTTATAAAAATTCTGATAAATCAGTTATTCTCTTTCCTACTGGCTGCTATACATAGCTAAACAGAAGTGGAAGCATGTGGATTTGGACAAGGTTTTTAATTTTTGTGCATTACTAACACGTGAGTTTCATACTCCTGCCATACTCCGAGGATGTACGCTGGCTTTAAGTCATATCTGGCTTAAGGAAAAAAGCCACAAGTCATTGTCCATATAATTTATTCAAGGCTGGGTTCGGTAGCTCACACCTGTAATCCCAACACTTTGGGAGGCTGAGAAGGGCGGAGCACTTGAGGTTAGGAGTTGAGACCAGGCTGGCCAACATGGTGAAACCCCATCTCTACCCAAAACACAAAAATTAGCAGGGTGTAGTGGCATGCACTTGTGGTCCCAGCACTCAGGAGGCTGAGGCAGGAGAATCACTTGAACCCTGGAGGCGAAAGTTGTAGTGAGCCAAGATTGTGCCACTGCATTCCAGCCTTGGTGACACAGTGAGATTCTATCTCAAAAAAAGAAAATTTATTCAATTCTGTGACTACCATAATTCCTCTTTCTTTTTCTGTTTTTTGTTTGTTCGTTTGTTTTTGATACGGAGTCTCTCGCCCTGTCACCCAGGCTGGAGTGCAGTGGCCCAATCTTGGCTCACTGCAATCTCTGCCTCCTGGGTTCAAGTGATTCTCTGGCCTCAGCCTCCCGAGTAGCTGGGATGACAGGCGCCTGTCACCATGCCCAGCTCTTTTTTTTTTTT